TTGGGTCCCTTTGCTATCTTCAAAACCCTGAATAGTATAAGCCAAGTATTATTGGGTCCCTCTGCTGTAGTCAAAACCCTGAATAGCATAAGCCAAGTATTATTGGGTCCCTTTATACTCAACATCTTTCAATATCCTGAATTGTATCACCGAGGTATTATTGGGTCCCGTTGCTATCTTCGTAGCCCAGAATAGTGTAAGTAAAATATTTTTGGGTCCCTTTGCTATGCTGGAAATCCTCTGTAGTGTAGGTCACGTATGACGAGAACTAAGCCTGGGTTACTGGCCCGAATCTTGGACTACTGGGAAAATTAGAAATTAGTTCAGAACTCCTCATACCCTTGGACTACTGGAAAACACCTTGGGCTACTGGGCCGAAGTTTGGATGAATGGGACAGTTGAAAGTTAGTTCAGAACTCCTCATACCCTTGGATTACTGGAAAACACCTTGGGCTACTGGGCCGAAGTTTGGATGAATGGGAAAATTGAAAATTAGTTCAGAACTCCTCATACCCTTGGATTACTGGAAAACACCTTGGGCTACTGGGCCGAAACATGAAAGAATCAAAAAAACGAAAAACGCGGATGATGAAATATGTCCGTCGCACACTATTGTTTGCGTCACAGAGTAGACAGAATGTGCCACGCTGGCTAGCATTTCAGACGACACTGGCCGGGTGTTGATCGGAAACCGTGAAAATCCTCGACGAAACGATGCGCATCGTTTCGTCGTAAAATCAACCTTGGAATGAAAACAAGTGCCTTTCAAAAAAAAGCGGGGCAATTGCAAAAATGCTCCGAAATGCTGCGCTGGCCAGTGATTTCAAGCTCCGCCACGGACACCAAACAGCAGCAGAATCCCTGAACGGCCACTCAAAACCCCCAAAACTGTCCCTGGAAGTGAACCCGTCTGCATATATATATATATATTTGGGAGGGTTATATAGGGTTATATTGGGGTTATATAGGGTTATATTGGGGTTTTATTAGGGCTTACTGTGCAGGGTTTAATACGTTTTAGGGTTCAGGGTTTGCAGGGTCTCTTTGGTTATGGGGCTAGAGTTGAGGGGCTGTAGGGGTTCTAGAGGCAAGCTTGCAGAGCTATCGGTGCCCTCAGCAAGGCTTCCAGGGATCAAAGTGGAGAGTAGGGGAGCCTCATCCATAGAACCCCTACATAGTCCCTTATGAGGGGATTAGGGTTTAGAGTTTAGGGCAGGATGTTGCGGTTCTCCACCAGCATTGTCGTCCCTGGTTCTTTGTATACACGCGGCGTAGGGTACTTGGAAAGTAGGCAAAGTTTGTCTGTAGAAGCCTGTGTCTGTTCAGGACGACCTGTCATATAGGGCTCTCCAAAAAATTGCAGTCCATTTTTGGTGGTCCCCAGAAACATGTTGGGGTCTATATCCCCTGCCCTCCTTTCTGGAACCCCCATACACATGATTCTGTGGATAGAAAGAAAACAACAGGGTTTTCTTTCAAAGGTAACTTAACTTGAGCCTCAACAGCCACCCAGACAACCTCCATGACAGAAACAAAAAGCGAAAGCGACCATGTCAGAAAGGTTGTTAGGCAGCTACATTAGAAAAACTGCCAGATAAGGTCCCCTAGGCCCTAGAGACCTTGCACCAAGGTACATCATGTACTTTGCATACGGGAACACCCTCAACCCTAAATTCTGTATCCCCTTATTCCCTACTAACCCCCCGTACGGTAAGGGAGCTCCAATAGAATCTGGGAACACCCTACACCGTAATCCCTTAAACGCTCAACCTAAGCCTTAAGCCCACATCCCTTAGATCCTAAACCCTACACTTCAAACCCAAATCCGTTAAACCCTAAACCCAAATCCCTTAAGCCGTATACCCTAAAAGAAGCTCCAATAAATTCTGGCTTGCTGCCGGCTCTCCCTCGAAAGCTTGGCCTGCAGCTGCTCGCTGAGCTTGCTCATGTGCGCCCGTGTCTCCTTGTGGGTTGTTCTCAAAATTATATTAGGGTTTAGGGTTTAGGGTTTAGGGTCCTTTTGGTCATAGGATATATTGCGGCACCTAATATGTTGGGGTACCAAAACGGGACCCGTATTTTGGGGAAACTGGAGCTTAAGTGTTTAAAGACATCTAAGGGTATATAGAGGCTATATAGGGAAGATTTGGGTAATATAGGGATCCACATATATACACAGACATACGTAGATATATACATATATAGCAAGTAAGTAAGTAAGTAAGTAAGTAAGGTTTAGGGGCTGAGGGTTTCAGGCTCCAGGCGAAGGAGTTGCCAGGTGGCTACCCTTACATAAAGCTGAGATAAGGCATAAGAATAGATAAGGGCTATGCAAGGCTTGTGGGAAAACTACGCACCTGGAAATTCCTCAGATGCAAGTATCACATCAATAGCACACAGATTGTCTACAAATGAATCTAAAACGTATGAGGAACATTAACCCAAAACTGTCCAACATTGATGCCAAACCTATTTGTGCACAGGATGACGCATGAAAGGACTACGGTAAAAGCTATATATATATATGTACGTATGTAGGGTACACGGGGATATGGCCCCAAAAAAGGAGAAACACATCGGAAAGAAAATGGATAATGACATGGGCACTTGGCTTTTTGGGGTTTATCCTGTCCTGAAACCATCACCTGAAACCCTAAAAACCTCAACAATCATCTCCGAGACCTTAAACCCTAAAAGCCCGAACAGCTGAACACAACGCTCCGAACCCTATGTCATCAACCTTCCACCCTAAACTCAACACCTAACATGTCTCTATGTATCTCTATAACCGCTTGAAAGGGACCCCAGGTCCTTCACACCCTAAAACCCACATTCTAAGCTCTAAATTCTGCGTGTCCTTATGTATCCCTGTAACCCCTTTAAACGGACCCCAAAATGTCGCTATGTGTCCCCATCGTCCTATAAAGGCACACCAGGTCCTTCACACCTTCGCCAACGTTCGGAGGCATGAGGCCGGGCCTCGCGAAACAGGGCTCGGCCCCGCGAGAGTGAGGCTTCGATTACTGAAGGGCTTCCATAGGGCTAGCTAGGGTTTAGGGTTTAGGGCTGAGGGCAAGCTAGCAATGTACAGGGTATCACATGTATGTATATATATATATATACACATACAAGGGTGTGTACGGGCTATATAAGTGTGAACTGGTATTTTGCGACACATATATATATATATTTACATATGTATATGTATATATATATATATACATATACATATGTATATATATATATTCATATGTAGGATTACACATCAGGACAAATGTGTAGGGTAGAGGAGGACACATTTTGGCTGGGTTCGAGGTACATAGAGGATTACAGAGTGCGGCGGCGGCGGGAAAAAGATATCCCAGCAAGTATGAAGTTGCTGCTTATCTAGCGTTGTAGGTGGTCTTTCACAGAAAAGGCACTAAACCCTAAATCCTAAAGTCCAGGTTACCGGAAGCCTGGTAGAAGTCGTGCGGAATATCAGGATTGTAGACAACAGAAAACAAACAATTTTCACTACCATTTTTCAGAACTGCCACATCTGCGAGCGGATCGCAAGGCCCATCACTTCATGATTAATCACTTCATGCAAATATCAACCACCCCTCCCCCCAATACTCCATATCCCGCATGAGACACCTTGTATAACCGCGGACGTTTTTGGGCAAGGAGGATGCCTAAACCCTAAACCCTAAGATTACCGGTATCTGTTACCTTGCTTCCATTATACTGCCTCATGGAACAAGGTGCCCGCTTCCTGAAACCTCATCTGAGCTTTAGTCTAAACTCCTAGCATCCCCCTTAATAACCCCTTTAATATACAACCCCCCTTTGAGTTTAGACTGTAGTACATATTATTCCCCTTAGTCACAACTCTTACTCCCTAGTGTGGAAACAGACCCTGTAGGGGAACTATCTAAGGGAAGCAGTATATTGGGATTCTGGTACATTTATGGAAAGCCCTGGCCCCGTAAACTAACCGTGTATGAGAATTAAGGGGGAGCCTATGGGGGGTAGCATAGCTGCCGCAATAAATAGGATAACTCATGATGAGACACTACCCGCCCGGGGCTCCCCTTTAAGTGTGGTGGTAGTAGTAGTAGTAGTAGTAGTAGTAGTAATAGTACTAGTAGTACTAGTAGTACTAGTAGTACTAGTAGTACTAGTACTAGTAGTAATAAGACAAATTGAACTAGTAATTGCTGTAGAAATAGTAGTAGTAGTAGTAGCAGTAGTAGTAGTAGTAGCAGTAGCAGTAGTAGTAGCAGCAGTAGTAGTAGTAGTACGTACGTACGTACGTACGTACGTACGTATTCGTGTTAGGGGACCTTAGAATGAGAGACCGAGGCTGGCGCGGCGCCATGGTAACCATCAGTGTAAGGGCTGAATCCGTCCTACTCGGCTTTTGGGGTTTGGGGTTAGGGTTCCCTAAACTCCAAAACCCCCTAAACCCTGCACCCCTAAACCCCTAAACCCCTAAACCCCTTCCTACTCGGCTGTTGGGGCTTAGGGCTTCATCTGTAGCACTTCTTGTCGATCGGCACTTTACGGGTTGAGCATTTGAAGTTTTATGGGGAGCATCGAGTCATAGAGGGTTCCCTTTAAAGACCTCAAGGCTCAGGACTTAAGACTTGCGATGAACTTAGTTTGGAGGACTAGGTTAGGGGTTCAGGA